CCCCCCCCCACACGCATTGCTCACAGGAAATATAGTACCAAAGCCTTGGCTATGGCACTACCACAGCTCTGTGCTTACATTGAGCACTATAAAATAATAAGGTCTGCTGGTGCAAGATAACTTAAATTCTATATCGATTTAATGCAATGTCAAAGAATTAAAATGTGTACATTTTGATGGGTTTTGTTCATTTGCATGCGCCATGTAATCACAGCTTGGTTAATTTCAATTGACTACTTTTAGCGATGTAACCCTAGCACATGCTAATTAAAGCAATCTACACAATAATATATATGTGGGCCTAAGCATCTGGTCTGCTATTTGTGTATTTGCTTTATTTTTGCTCATTTGATGTATTTTTAGAAACCACTGAAGGTATGTAATTGGGTTTTCTTGACTTATCCCAGCAAGTCTGAGTGGCTGATGAAAACAAAATCAAAACTTCAACAACAACAAAACAACTAACAAAACAACAACAACAACAACATCCACAACAAACAGCTATAGTTCGAGAGTCTGCAGGGGAGAGCAAAGTTCTGTAAATAGAAAGGTCGTCTCTGCGAGATTAGCTTATGTTGAGGGCTTGAGATCCGAGTGTGACGGTTACTGGCCGTCAGTGGAAACAGCTAGTAGGACAACGACGATACCAATCTCCAAATATCAAGCTCAAACGAAAAAATAGTAACCTACAATAAACATTACTTTTCACGATGAACTAAGATTAATGAAACGCAGGAACGCGCTTTTACTCGAAAACCTGTTTTATCACTCAATTCTTGAGCCCGGCAGGGGGGGGTGGGTTAAATCTAGGTGTGTGTGTGTGTGTGTGTGTGTGTGTGTGTGTGTGTGTGTGTGTGTGTGTGTCTGTGTGTGTCTGTGTGTGTGTACGAGGGGGTTGACAATTAATTGATAGGCTATACTATAGATAAAACTGCTGAAACTTGATATTAAATGTCTGTCGCAGAAATTACGGTGCGAAATTTACGACATAATCCATGCAAACAATGACATACATAGAAAAGACAACTGTAGGTAAAAACAAAATCTGTGCTTTTCCAAACTCATTTAGGAAAATATAGATCTAGAATCAAGATCTATTCATTGTTCACTCGAACGAACAAGACAGTCACACGGTTAAATGTGTTAGTATTGAATCGTATACACTGCTCGATCATGACAGTTTGAGTTTTTTATTAACTTGAATGTCAACTTCCGATAATGTTCTCTTGATCAGCTGTGACTGAATGAGAATGTTTATTTAGTTTTAGGCCTACAGCACAGCAGAAATGTAGGAAACTCGAAACTGACATTTCGTCTTCTGTTTCCATATTAGATCTTGATGTAGATCTAGCTTTTTTTTTTCAAGGAGAAAGTCATTTTTCGGCATTGATCAAACTTGTTTGTGGGCATCCCGTGTAGTAAAATATGCTTAAGTGGATTCCTAAACCCTGAGTCGAGTTGGAAAATTGATCAGGTCAATCAAGTCTTCCGTTCTGTGTCTGCAGTGAGTTGGTCTCTCCTTTTTTTTTCTTCTTTTTTTCAGAGAGGTGTCTGAGTCTGAAGTTTAGAGTTGCTCTATCAGCATCTCGATTACAAAGAATTTGTAGCACTTTGAGCTTTCCTTACTTTATCGCTTAGTTAGATGAACTTTTTAAGAAGCTATACTTTTCCATTCTATACTATAGACTATAGAAATAGACTCTAGATCTAGATCTATACACTTCAACTTCATCAGTTACTTTCTAGGAATCGCATCATGAACGGATGTTCACGGCACCGAACTTTCATTTAGATGGAGCGTCCACTGCCGATTTAAGTAAGCCGGTTTTAATTAGTGATGACAGTGACGTGTATTTAATATTTGGAAGAGGCTAGCCGTACTTAATGACGGCCAGACTATGGCAGTCTAGCCGTACTTATTCTTAATATGATGGCTAGACTCACCATTTACAAAGAATAGGCCTACTGAATTGTAAATATACATTTTTAGTGTGCAGACCTAAAGTATTTGTATTTGAGACGAAACCAGGTGCCTTAATGACAGTGTATGTATTTTAAACCTCCTGTTTTCTTTATTGTTAATAGGGCCTAAGATAAGTACGGCTAGACTGGCAGTCTAGCCGTACTTAAGTACGGCTAGACTTCTTGTCTTGCCGTACTTAAGTACGGGTAGACAGCCAGGCTAGCCGTACTTAAGGACGGCTAGACTGTCAGTCTAGCCGTACTTAATATTGATGGCTGAATTGTAAATGAAATTTTTAGTTTGCAATGCCTAAAGTATTTGTATTTCAGACAAAACCAAAAGGTGCCTTACTGACTTGCATGTATTTGAACCTGAATAATTACTAGATCTAGATCTGAGACCTGTGTACTTAACAGGCTTGAGTCGATAGGGCCAAACCTAGATCTAAGTACGGCTAGACTCTCAGTCTAGCCGTACTTAAGTACGGCTAGCCACTTCGTTAATATTTTGGCCTGCTTCAAGCATTCCATCCCATGAGATGAAGGAAAACGAAGCAGTGTTTCGTCGTTTTCCCTTACACTGAGCTCTGGCTCAGAGCCTGCTAGTGTAAGGGAAAACGATGATCTCTCAATTACGCAACAACGCGTTTGATATATAACAAAAATGCATACACGCCTATCAATGTTTCAATTTCCCTGTGTGGCGTCCGGGCAAGACTTGGGTGCCACCTTGTATGTTTTAGCACATGATGGCCCAGGAATACGAGTGTAAACACAAGTTCCAGCGCACTCGAGTTGAAAGCGTGCAATTTTGTCTGGGGGCAGTGTGTGTATGTGTGTGCGTGTGAGAGAGAGAGAGAGAGAGAGAGAGAGAGAGAGAGAGAGAGAGAGAAGGTGGGGGGGGGGGAAGGGAGAAGAGAGTCAGAGAGAAAGAGGGAGGGAGAGACAGACAGACAGAGAAAAATAGAGAGAGAAGGGTTGGGGGGGGGGGAGAGAAAGAGAGAAGGAAAGAGAAAGGAGAGGGAGAGAGAGACAGACAGACAGAAAGAGAGAGAGGGGGGGGGGTTTGTTATAATAATACAAATAATTGATTCCCGTCATTTTCTCTCTGCGTCGGTTCCCAGGCTGACCCGGTGCAATACAGTCATTATTGTACACATTTTTTTACCAGTCTCATCTTCCGAATCCCACCTTCTATTTCCCATCTCTCTCCTCTTGACCTTGTTTCACATGTACCGTATCCAATTTTCTTCCCATATCCTGACTTTGATTCTGTAAGGGCGCTTCGTTTTCCTATGGATGGAACACTTGATGAAGCTGGCCAAAATATTAAATGTAACGTCACTGTCGTCACTGACTGAAACCGGCTGACTTAAACCGTCAGTGGATGCTCCCCCTAAACGAAGCTTTAGTGCAGTGAACGTAGCCTCAACAGTGCCTGCAAACTGCATTTAGGGTGCCGTGAATGTAGCTACTGCGTAGGATTATAAACTCATGGATTTCTTTCCTTTTGTCTTTGGCCTATTCTACTTCTGGCATCATTATGCTTGTTTAACAAGTTGATCTATGATTAGTCTTGGTGTACTAAACCAAAATGTAAATTGCCATTGCCAAGCCTTGTTCCCTATATATTAGTATTATTAGCTATGTCAACAGGTCTGTAGTCTACATAGCCTGTTGCAGAAAAAATGATCATACAAGAATTATCTGGGTTTTTTTGTTATGTCTAAGTGTACCCCCTGGCTCTCCCTTTTGATGGTTCATCATGCTATTTTTTGTTGAGTTGCTGTGAGACTGTGAAATGAAGTCCATCTCTACTTGTGTGAAATGTTACTGAACTGGAATCATTTGACTTCTTCTCTGTTTGTTAAAACCCTCTTCAATACAAAATTATTGATGGCTGTGAAGTGTAATATCTTGTTTGGACTGAATGGGCCTGAAATTTGCATCATGTCAAGTGTCAGCACTTTTATCAAGGGAATGATGATGATTCAACTGACGTCTTGTTCATTTTCTTGAATTTACTTTGAATTGAATTTATCTTTCATTTGCTTTAAATTCCTTTTCTAGCATCCTCATGCCGGGAATGTGGCACATAATGGAGGCAACACAAGATTCATATCGCCTGTCTGATCGTCTCATACGTGCTGTGAGCAAGTGGGGCTTTGATCAAGGGGATGAAGACATTACACAACTCATAGAAGCAGGTATCAGAAAGTTACTTACAGCTCTTGGTTTGGCCTTGGCCTTGGTCTTTGTTTTGAACAGAGACAGTCTTCATTTTCAAAATTTTGGAAAAAATGTCTTAATTTTGCCTTTCATGTTTTGAGGGGTTCTATTGTTTTGACTTTCTCAGTAGCCTACTGGAGAGGCTTGGAATTTTGTATACAGCAAGGGAATTTCTTAAAGCTTTGTTTGATCTTATTTCTTTTCTTCTTTTCAGTTTGTTCCCTTTCCAGCTACAAAAATCAAATCTGAAATGTTTGTAATGTTGAGTATGCATAGAAAGGCTTTACACTGTGACTTTGAGTTAGTTACATTTTCATGAGTACTCAGCAAATAAGCACTAACTTGAAAAACATTTTTGGTCCCATTGAATCTTTTGGAAGAGAAAATAACCAGAGATGCGATTCAGACAGTGTACCTAATTCTGTTGTTGATTGTCCTAGCTGTTACCTTAAGCCTTGAGATCTATCATTTTTGTTATTTTATCCAAAGGGAGAACCAATTTTTTTAGGGTGCCTCTAGTGGTTTCTTTGCTATTCTCTCTCATTTTTGTCCATCAGTCTTGCTGTCTTTTAGCGTTGAATGACTGCTGTTGTTTTAGGGTACTTTTCTGTCCTTGAACTCATGCTTAGTAAAGGAGAATGTGCTGGTATTAATTTTTCATATTGTAAAAACATGATGGATGGTTTTGTCAATTGTGCTGAGTTATGTGATAGTAAAGGAAGCAGGTACAGAAGCAAATATGGGGGAGAAGAGGAATGTGAGGCCTCTCCCAGCAATTGATTTGAATTTCGTAATATCATTTTGGGAACTTTTTTTTTCACCTTTTCCAGGAGCAGAGGTAAATAGGCTTCATGGTACTCTGCTACCGTTACATTGTGCCTGCATGGTTGCTGATTCTGATGTCACTGAGCTGTTGATTAACAAAGGCGCACGGGTGAGATAATCAGTGATTCACAGTTTCATTCCATGATGTCTTGCAGTATGTTTCTTTGTTGTTTTGTGCATTTTAATAATTTGGAGACTTTTTAATACTGCAAAATCACAAACGAAATAATTTTGATGGACAAAACATGAAAATTGCCTAGCTATGACATCTGAAAGAGACATGATATACAGGGTGATTAAAAAAACAACTTAACAACTTTTTTTCTGAATATCTCGCGCAAAAATTGTTCTAGAATGCTGTAATTTGGAACAGACATAATTCATTCAAAAGGAATTTGTTTGATATAAAATCCTCGAAGAAGAAACATGGTTTGAAAACGGAAACGCCTAAAAGAAAAAAGCACCCAAAAACGCAAAGTTCACCAATGTTTAAAAATCTTGTAAAGGAAGTCGTGAATTGAAAAGATTAGTTGACTTTTTTCTTTATTTTCTCCTTGACATTAATTTTCCATCCCTGTGACATTTAAACAATATTTAATTTCTTATACAAAGTTTTAAAAACCTACTGATTTCCTTCTGAAATTCCTAGAGAAGCAGTGCTCCGCGTTCCCGCCTTTGGACTCGACACATTTTTAACGCGCCGTTCGAAATGTTCAGTGGCGCCCTAACACAAGGACCTGCTAGACCATGAGTTTTTAAAGCCACATACTCTGTACATGTTCACTAAGAAGTGGCTTCTAGAGACAATAGAGTGGGGTGCCTAACAGACAGCATTTTTGGAGTTAACATATCCTGCAGGGTGAAAATGGGCTTTGCACGAAACCAAATGTCATTGAGGAAATGATCCCTCTTTACAAGACAATCGACGAATCATGAACACATTGCCATGCTCTGATCCATGTCATCTCGGCCAAGCAAAGATGAATATGGTATAGTCGTAGGTTAAGATCTGCCATGAGAATGCAGACTGTTGATGTGTAGGAAAGTCCTAGCTGCAGATCGTCTACGGACAGACATCTCATGGGACTCGGCTACTGAAATCTGCATTCTGGTGACGTTTAAAGGGCTGCGGATGGTGCGTGTTCTACCTGAAGTGGTCATTTTTTAAAGAACTTTTCAGTTCTGATTCTCAATGGATCCAAACTGACGGAACTTCTCTACTCATGACGCCAAAGGTCTTGAGGGCACCTAACCATTCTCTCCATGCCGTGCGCAGAACTTACGAAATGTCAGAGAATGAGAGTTTGTGGAGAGGTAATGTTCAATACAAAAAGCTCTCTGTTCTTTGCTAAACGTAGCCATGATCTCAGCAGGCAAACAAAATTTGGGAAAAATAATATCTGCAGACTTCTGTTGACTTGTAAGACTGCTGTGGCTTGCAATATGGCATGATTGTTTCAACTTTTAGTGGTAGGCCTAATACAAACTGGTGCGTCATGTTATGAAAATGGCGTCAAGGTTAAAAATGGTTTGTTTTTTTAAAATGCGCTATATAGAGCAAAACCATTCAATGGACTTATCTAAAATACATATCAGACAAATTCCTTTTGGCTTCCAAACGTTATCTTCAAATCTGAGATGCAAAACTTCAGTATGGAGGAAGATATTTACAAAACAAGTTGTAAAGTTTTTTCTGGATCACCCTGTATGTTAAAGATCGCTTGGTGGTCCCAAAAATCGATAATAGTGGGCTTTGGCTGCCACCCACGCAAAATTCAAAATTCCTACCGAAATCTTAAACTGAAAATTCTCCAGTCAGTATAAAAACATGGAGTGCTTTCGAAAGTGGAATGTGGTTGATTGATCTGAGGCAAGGTCCCTCCTAAGCAGGAAAAATGGTCACATACGTAAAAATCAGTAGCTCTCCAGATCATGATTAACATTAGTTTCAAAACCATGCCTCATAGGCCTACTGTATTTGAGGTTTTATTTCAATTTTATATAGTAGCAAAATGTTTGTTAGTTTCTTGTGACATGGTTAGTTTGATGAGAAAGTCAGCTGCTTTAATCAAAGAATAACCGACTTGTAAGAAGTCATACTTCTACTGTATGGTTCAGAGACATGGAGGCTCACAGCATCAGCAGCAAAGAAACTGTAGAGCTTCGTAAATGGATGCCTACGAAGGATAGTGGGGATCAAGTGGTACGATCGAGTCACGATTGCTCAACTGTGGGAGAAAACAAGCCAAAGGCCAGTAAAGGAAGATATTCAGGTGAAGAAATGGAAATGGATTGGACACACCCTGAGGAGACCCCCGACAAGCATCATCAGGCAGGCTTTAACGTGGAATCCACAAGGAAAATGTAAGAAAGGAAGACCAAAGATGACATGGAGGCGAGCGGTACAAGCGGAAATTGAAAAAGCGGGGACATCATGGAAACAGATAGAAAAGGATGCTCATGACAGGCTTCGCTGGAGTAATGCTGTTGATGGCCTGTGCTCCACTGGGAGTTAAAAAGGGCAAGAGAGAGAAGAAGTCGTACAGTTTTTTAAGTTTTTGTCGTGTGACAAGCAAAGATTTGTTTCACAACATTTGATAATCACATAACTTATTTATAAAGGAAGAAACTGGTATTTTGCAAATTTCATAATAACTCCATCATAATTTTAAGAATCGTATTAGATCAAAATGATCTCTGAACAGATTGCATTGTAGTGGATGTTTTTTTCAGATGAAATGAATTGTTCCCTGTTCTCATCTCCAGGTAAATGATACTGATGGCTATGGAAGATGTGCAATCCATTATGCTGCTGAGAAAGATGTAGACTGTATCAAAGTGTTACTTCGGGTAAAACAACTTCTAGATATTTTTTAAATTCCCTTCAAGATTGTTTTCTATGGCCATAGGTACATAACCTTTGTAGATAAAGGGCATTTTTTCATTTGATCGGTTTTGAAGGGACAATGTTGCAAATGCGGGAGGAAAACATAAAAAACTTTTGGTTAACTCTTAGTTGATGCCTTGGAAATCAGTTGAATTTGATGGTTGGACATTTTGACTCTAGATACGGTTTTCTTTTTAAAATATATTATGCCCTCTTTTTTGATTGACTGGGTACGCTAGATCTAAAGCCATGTGGCTGCCTCGTTATCAAAGACAATGCACACTTTGATAGAACTTTGTTATATTAACCTTTGTAAAAGATTGTACTTGATACATCCTGAAGACCACTCTTTCAGGAACCAGACCAGTTAAGTAGGGTGGGCTTATTGTGAGCCATAAAAATGTGCAAAACTTGTTTAGGTGCCAGATTTTAACCACATCTTGTTGAGTTGGCTAGGCATTTTGGTTATCTAGACTTAAGTCTGTAGCATATATTCATCTAATGAAGCATTTTCAAGCGAATATGTTTAATCAAAACATTTTCGACAAACAATAAGGGATGTGGGATGATGCAGGTTGGGGTGTTGGTATCTCATCACTGAAGTGTGTGTTTGTCTTGCTCAAATCAGCTGGGGATGGGGAGTGTCTTTTTGCTATGAAAGAAGCTATGTAGGCCTTTATGGTGGTTACGGCACAGCCCAGTAGGCCGAGTGTTGTAATAAATAAGTAGAGGGGACATTAGGCAGGACAGAAAAACCTCAGTAAGCTGGAGGTTGCCGGTCCCTGTCACAGGCAGTACATTTGTGAGGCAGCGTGGTGGAATCAGGCTCTCGTCAATTTTTGGGCATGTAGAGTTATTGGTATCATTTTAAAGCTTGTTCACTTGTCTTTATTTTGATGAAAAAAATGTCCATTTATCTTGAATACAAGTCGAGATATTTGCAAAAGAAGGAGATGGGGGGTCACCTGTTTTGAGAGTTAAATTAGTGAGGAAATGGCCGCCAAAGATAAGATATTTCCTTAGCTTAAGAGTCCGTGGTAACTGAAATTTTACATTTTTTGTTCCTTTAATCAACGTTTTTCAGAAAAATTCACACAGAAATAAGTTCTTTAATGGGCATGAAAGGTGTTGAGCCAAAAAACAAAAATTCGATACAAATTCACAAACCTGCGGGAAAATGCAAGTTTCTTCACTTTGATTATTTTGACGAGAGCCTGATTCCACCACGAGGCCTCACATTTGTCTATGTATATCACATTTATTAAAGATAAATAAGTCTGGATCGATAACAACAACAACAACACTAGATCGATACCATAAAAAATAAATGAGTAAACTATTGTCAATAATCGATAACATTAAAAATAAATGAGTAAACTATTGTCAATAATCGATAACATTAAAAATAAATGAGTAAACTGTTGTCAATAATCGATAACATTAAAAATAAATGAGTAAACTGTTGTCAATAATCGATGACATTAAAAATAAATGAGTAAACTGTTGTCAATAAGGTAAAAAAAAGGAATTTTTCATGTAAATCCTTTCTCAGCATGGTGCTAACATTAACCAAGGAGACCTGAACAATGATACAGCCCTGCACTGGGCGTGCTACAAGTGTGAGCCAAAGTGTGTGAGGCTGCTCCTCAAATTTGGGGCTAATATCAACGCCGCAGACTACAACAATGACACGCCCATCAGCTGGGCTGCTCGCAAAGGTATTGTATTTTCAGTCGGTTTAACTACGAGAATTTTATTTACTTACTTGAGTATAGGCTGTTACACTTCCTGATGAATCTCCCTTCTCCTATCTTGCTTCCTTTCAATAACATCAAAAGCAGACCTGATTTACTCTCGTTTCTTCAGTCTATATTCTTGTATCATGTGGTCTACTCTTTTTTTTTTCATTTTCCTTCCATCACGTTGTTATGTATACTTGCTGAACTAGTGTATTTCAATTATATGAATGGTCACTGAACTAGTTCATTTGCCTGACAGGATAATGTCATGCCATTTCAATGTTAATAAATGTTTTTCTACTGACCACTCCAGTTTTATTCTAGTACCTACATGACTGCCTTTGAGGCTCTACCTTGTACTTATTCTTGGTGAGGTTTTTTTTTCCTTTCTTTTTTGTTTAGTAGGCCTACAGTGTGTTTAATATACTTGTTGCGTTGGTCTAGGCGAAGAGCTGATTGGCTCTGATATGGTTATGATTGTGAACCAGAGTTATGTAAAAAAAAAGAAATCCTTCAGTATTCCGTTGTACATGCACTAACACTGTGACTGACAAACAATTTCATGATGTCTTATTTTAGACATCAGACTTATGTCTGTGTGCAAAAGTTACCGGGATTAGCATACACTTCATCATACAGTAGAACATGGCTATAGTGGGACTTTTGGTTCCAGAAGAAAATTCCTGCTGTGGGCAAGTTCCTGCACTAGAAATATGAAAGGGAATTGCTGAAAAAAAAATTTTAATCCACATGATTACCTCCCTTACATATTAATAAAATTTGTGCTTTTGAAAGATTAGTCTTCCTTTTCCTATCTATCAACTTCTGTTGATTATCTCGGCCTTTGATTCGAGTGACAAGCTTTTCGTTTTGTCTTTGTTGGAAGCCATGTTTTCCTCTGTCTTGTTGCTTGTGCTGTCTATGATACCAGTAGGCCTACTGTAGAACTAGCGAAGTGGATGTGTGCGTATGCCTGAGCATCAACGATCTCGAGTCAATGAATCAGGAATCACACACATGCTCTCCTCTTCTTTTACTTTTTGGCCTAGCCTAGGCCTATGGCTATGGCCTATATACTCTCCTACTGAGCCTCTTAGCTACGGCACATCACTTTTTGAGTGGCTCACTTAGCGCGTCTCTCCGCACCATCTTTCTCTGCCGCTTGCCCCACCTCACTCATCACTGGACTGGCCAATCACAATGCCACAACGCTGACTGCCTGTTTGGAGCCCGCCTACAGCCCCCCACCTTCCAAACCCCTTCCCTCAAGCCCCCCTCCTCCCAACCCCCTTCCCTCCAGTTCGAGCTCACTCTATCTCCCCCTGGCTGTATCCAAGTTTGGGACTTTCCTTGCCCCACTAAGCCCAAGCATAAGTAATTGAGTCTCATCATCATCCAGTGCCAGATCTGCGGCAGACATCGGCGATCATTGTTTGCCATTCATTCCTTTGCTACGTTTCCCTGATCTTTCCCTGTTACCCATTTGTTTAGGTTCCCTAAGTATGTTGTTCTGGGCCTACCCCTGCCTCGCTTGCCCTCAATTTTGCCAGTGAGAGCTAGATGTTCAAGACCCTTATGTCTATTCAGGTGTCCCAAAAACTGCATTTGTCGTTTCCTGATTGTTTTTAACATTGAGCGTCCCACGTGGGCTTCATCAAGCACTACCTCATTTGATTTCTTTTCCTTCCATGATACTCTTAGCAGTCTCCTAAGAAACCAGGAGAGTTTACATAGAAAAAAAATGGGGGATTCACTGGTGGCACTATAGTCATGTTCTACTGTAACTGCATTTGTGTCTTCAGGTAATGTTGAAGTCATCGGGATACTGCTGGACTTCAATGCCAATCTAGACATTAAAAATTTCTTTGGGTTCACGCCATTGCAAAGAGCTGCAAGTGTTCAGGTTTGTATGTGTTGTAGAGTAATCATAATGTAGCATGAAATGGTCAGTATATTGGTATCGTTGAGAGCAAGAAAAGAGTAACACACACACACACATACACAGAGGAACAACAAAGATGTCTAGCCTACGGCAGCACAAGCCACAGTCATGTAAAGTTTAAGTCATATATTAAACTCTGGAACACAACCCGAGAAGTTGTTTCATTTATTAATGTTTAATGTTGTTGGTGTTCTTGGACTGTTCGCAAGTAGAATACACAACAGTATGTTTATTGTACTGATGTTCCCTTTCTGAAGATCATGAGAGTGCTTCTCCACGCAGCAGATAAGAACCCCCTCAATTCATCGCTCATAATATCACAGGTCATTGTTGACTTTGACCTTGAAGAACTCTTGAAAAACATCAATCTTTATGATACGACTGAAACCATCACATTACGAAGATTCTCTGTTATGCTTTGATACCATGCTGTGATATCATATTGACAACCTTAAAAAGGGCATACCAAATACATACTTAATGATACATGTATTCTGTTTAGAGGGTGTACCTGCATATGATTCTTTGTAATATGAAATCAGTTCAGACGAGCAGTTATCCTTTGCATTTTTACTTTGAACAAGTTAGTAATATACATTCTAGACAATCATCTGTGGATCGGGATTTTCCCTAAATTATGTGTTAATGTGTTTCTTCTTAGTTGTTATGCTAACTGTTTTAGCTCCTTTCTGAATTCTTTTTTTGCATCTTGCTGTCGAAGCTTTTTTTATATTATCATGCCAGCTAATCCTCGGCTGTTGTGTTGATTCATCACATTTATTGAGGAAATTTTTTTAACGTAGCTGTATAATATTTAAAACTACATATGTGTTACGACTCGGTAGAATCAGGCGCTGGTCAATTTTTGGGCATCTGGAGTTATTGGTATCATCTTAAAGATTGTTGATTTGACCTTCTTTCGATGAAAAAAATACACGCAGATCTTGAAATGAAGTCGAGATATTTGCGATTGAAGGAAGTGAGGTCGCGTGGTTTCAGTGGTGAAATTAACGAGAAAATGGCTGCCAAAGTTTGGTAACTCCAATAGCTAAAGAATCTTTGAAAACTGAAAAATACATATTTTGTGCCTTTAATCAATGCTTTTCAGTAAAATTCACATGGAAATGTGTTTTTATATGGACGTAAAAGAGGTTAAGCCAAAAAAAAAAATTAGAAAAAAATTGTCAAACTGGAGGGAAAATGCTGATATCTTTGATTTCATTATTTTGACGAGTGCCTGATTTCACCACGATACCTCACATATGTAGACTAAGTTTTATTCTTCTGAATTAAATTATTTTCAAATGGAGTGTTGACTGAGCTTATGAGTTGTTTTTTTAATATGTGTTGACATGTTTTAAGGCTACATTCTTTTGACTAGATCTAAGCTCTTTTTGAAAGATTTATTTTGTTGACATAGCTCTAGTCTTTATTTTCCTTATAATGATGTAGCTGAGTTGTTTTTTTTTCATTTTACATCATATTGACTTAGTTTAATTTTTTTGTTCTTGCAATGTGTTATCAAAGCTCAATGAATGTTTGTTGAATTGACTCCGTATTTTAATAACATGAATAATAGATAGCATTTGTATAGCGCAAATCCCCGCTCAACAGCAAGCTCTATGCACTTCGCAATCTATACTATTACCCCAGCAGACCTGAGAGCCTTCTGAAACAACCTCAACTTCCTGGGAAGCGTACAGTGCAGGCACTTAAACACTAACATACTGACAAGATCTTTCACATTTTAAAGAAGTTGATAAAGCTCAAATTTCTTCTGTCAGGCATCTGGGCTGAACACAGAGGATGATGATGACACTCTGGAGTTGCTGATCAAAGCCTCGGGACAGTTTAATCTCCTAGACGAGTCCGGTGAGGTGCTGAGGGTGGTCCAGCGAGACAGCCGTCTGGAGGAGATTATGCAGCCGCTGTGCCGACACCCGAGACCTCTGTTGCAACTGTGTCTTCATCGAATCAGGAAGTCTCTAGGCCCTTGTTATCTCCCTTATATCGTTCCATCTCTTCCTGTGCCGCGCAAAGTGAAAGAATACCTACTACTAAGACATGAGTCGCCACGATACCTCAGGCCAAGCTCAAATGAGACGGACAGTGATTGACTTGGTACCTGGAGTATATTTAACTGATGTTTTGAAGACCGATTCTACCTTTCATCTGCTCGACCGGTGTATGCAATTTATCTCAGACGACTCCAGTGACTGGCTTGTCTTTTGTGATGGGCACAAGGGAGGCTATTCTATTGTACTTGACAAAAATAGTTACAGAGGTTAGACCTTTGAGTCCTACTTTCATTTCATGGTATTTTTCGTTTTTATTATTTTTAACCTTTATGGGTTAGTGTTTTTTGTTTTTGTTTGTTTGGGGGGGGGGGTGTTCTTGTGAAAGGCTCCAGGACTTGTGGGGGGTTTTTTGTGAAAGATTGTTGAAGTATAAAATGGTTTTTCAGTCCTGTTATATTCTTTCAAACTTGTAAAATTTGAGACTTATCGGGATAGAATCTCTTTGCTTACCCTGTGAAGATTCATATGTATTGAGTCAGTCATGGGTGGTCACTTTCCCAGCATGTGAACTGAGTTGAAAACTTTCTCTCTTTTGAAAGCTTACCTTTTCCAAAGCTGAAAGTTGTGATTCCTTATGACGTCAAAGGAAGGAGTACAGATCTGATTCCCAAGGAAAAACTGTCTGTACTCTGTCACCAAAGGATGCAGGCATGAGACCTTGAATTGACCAGGGAGACAGACTGAAGGCACTAGTTGGAACAGAAGTGTGATTTCTCTGACCTGGGGAAAGCCAGAGGTTTTGTACTTCCTTGCAATCCACGACTGTCAAGGCAATGTGAGTTTTGTATCACTCACTGATGTGGGCAAGACTGAGTTAAATGAGGACAGAGGAGGGGAACAGTTAACTCACTTCAGACGGGTCACACAACAGTTGCGTGACCCCCGCCGCGACGCTCGCGACGGGTCTCACAAGCCCTGCGTGACCAACTTTGGAATTTTTTTTTCGCTCTACAAATCACGCACGGATCGCGAGACCGGCCTCGTACCCTTGTTTGGCCAAACCTGAGCTACTTAGACTTCGTTTCGTATCTCTGGGGCCGGTAGTTTTTAAGTTATTGAAGGTGAAGGACAGTGACCCCAACTGGGGTTGAACAGACCGGAACTCGCGCTTTGTTTTTTTCTATACAGCTCATAGTAATCCGACAGTCGCGTCGTAGTAACGGTCGAAGAAGTCGCATGAACGAGAATCACATAATTTCGCCGTTTTCTATACTTCTGTGCGTTTTACTAGTTCTAGTGTCTCAGAATATGATGTGTCTAATAGTTAGGATCCTGGATATGTACCCGAACACGGCCCGAGTCGTAGTTCTAGGGCTAGATCTAGCACTAGTACCGGTGTTGTTTTTCGCGCAACGAAATCACAACGTCGTGCCGTACATCTGTCTCATGTAATTCAGTGTATGGGTCTGAATCAATGCACAGACCAGCTTTTATATTTTCACCAAACACTCGCACATGTATACAAATCAAACCAGAACACTTTGAACTTTTATTTTTGTTGTTGCAGTGAATTTCATTCTACTTGTCACGTCTCTGGAAATTTTTCGGAAAATCAAATTCATGCCAATTTTTAAAAAATCATACAAATTAAAGTATTAGACTTAGACAACTTTAATTTTTTGTATTAGATTAAGCTTGAATGTTACTTTACTGTGTCAAAAAATGATTACAATAGGGTAATTATGAGAGTTGTGGTGATTTTTTGAAATACCCCCAAAAACGCCAGTCTTCAACGCTTGTGACTGGTGAAAGGGCCCAGTCGCAAGTGAGTTAAAGGAAGGAGAGTGGTACAAAGAAGTGTCAGGGACATTCTTAATTGCATTTATAATTCTCGTTCTCAATACACTCATGACAACTTCTCAAGCACATTTTTATCTGTTTTTATGTTTTTCTTCAGCTGATCTATGGTTGAGGATCTTGGGAAAAAATGTGATCTTCTGGCCATTTTCTTTCCATGGCAAATTTTGTAAATGCATCCATTCATCTTTTAGATACAAGTCACTCTGTGCACTGGATGATCTTAGGTGATTGTAAACTACAATAGAAGGGCTCACCTCATCTTTTCCCTTGCAATTCCTGTTTACAATTCATCGTAACATATAGTTTATGTTTTTTTTCTGGCTTATAATTTGAAAGGTTTCCTTAGTTTAGACACTACTGTGTTTGTTAATCTTGTGATTCCATGTTGGTCTAGTGGTCTGGCAACAAATCATGACCCTTGTGTTGATTTTCCTAACTGTCGAGTTTGTTGCTGGTTTTATTTGCTAAAAGAAATTTTTTTTTCTGAGAGGCATGTCTTGTTTTCAGAGCTTTTGCTTGTTTACATACACTAAACAAAAAGGCTCTGTGCTTTTTGTTACCATAGAGCTAACGGCTTACTATGCTAAAGGAGACTCATTTCTATGCAGAAGTAATAGAATCTGACATGATACAAACTCATGGAGAGCTCTCAGGATAATGCATTTTTATAAATGTTTTATTACCATGACAACCAGCTGTAAAACAGTTATGTAGGGTGTATTTTCTAATAAGGATTTGCCAACAAAAGAAGGCCTGTAAAATGAGGATAACTTTCTGTTTATAATTGTTTTTTCTTTGTTGAAATGTTGCAACATTTTCGTAATCTTTTCACCCGCGTGAGTCACACTGACTTGTGTTGAAATTATTACAGACGAGTCGTCAGGTTGTTGGAGGGTGCCACTAGTGGTCCTTCGTTTTTACTCTCCCTGTTATTTCTGTCTCTGTCTTTCTCTCAGTCAGCATATATATATATATATATATATATAATGACGATTGTTGAGCATGTGGTATTTGGGAACAGCCGGTAGAATCTGCTTCTTTTCTTTTCCTTCGTTTTTTTTTTTCTGTCTATCCTGCTTTTTCCTTGAACAAAATGACCATTATTTTGTCAATGAGCTTCTCTTTACTCAAACAAAGACCATAATTGTGTCAATGAGCTTCTCTTTAGCACACACCAAAATTGCCCACCCCAGACGAAGAGAAAGTAGCTGAACTGAGAAGAGTTAGCTGCCATTTTTTCCCTATTGTGCCATAGTAGTGGATGTCTACAGGGTGTCTCAGAAGTCCCCGGAGTGAACAGCTGTGTGTTTGTTTTACTAAAAACATCAGGCTGCATTGTTCTGAAAATAACACATCTAAGTTGTCGTGACCACTTCCTTGTTTGGGGGCTCTTGTGGCCTAGAGGTTAAGGTGTTGGCCTCTCATTCAAAGGTCCCGGGTTCGAATCCGGGTAGCGACCGAAATATTTTCTTCTCTAAAATTGTCTCCTTCCACCTCCTTTCCTACTCTCTAGCAATGTTCTGTCGTCTGCTTTCATTTCCACTTTCTGCCCCCACCCCCTCACCTCCTTTGCCCCCTCCTCTGGGCTCCTGACTCTTTCTGCAGCCTTTCTACTGCTACTCCTTGGTTCCTCCTTACTGCTGTCTTTCTGCCACACCCCTGATATTCTGGCAGGAAAGATCTACACCTAGCCTTCTTAGACAAGGGCGAAAAATCTCAGAGGGCCCGTGTGCAAGTTGCGCACGTTAAAGATCTCTTGGTGGTCTAAAATCGATAAGAGTAGACTTCGGCCGCCACCCCGGCAAAATTCAAAATTTCCTACCAACTGAAGATATCAGTAGGTGTGTCCCACGCGCTCATATGACCGTATGCAGTTGCGAGCGCCGTAAAACACTTTACAAAAACAAAATTTCCTTGTTTTCACTAAAGTATGGGAATACTACTAAGCCAGTGTAGAGTCCTGTGATTTTTTAGTTTCTGTTCATCGAGTTAGCAGAATATGGCAATAATAAAAATATGTCTTGTTAATCAGATTTTAGAACAAAAAGGAATGACAATATCAACCGCGTTCAGAGAAAGAAACAGACCACGATCTTCCGCCTACGAACAGAACATATACAGCTCAACTTCCATCTGAACAGAATAAACCCGGAACTTCCCCCAATGTGTCCCTTGTGTGACTATGCATATGAGACAGTGGAGCATCACCTGTTCCACTGCACAGCCCTAAATGACATCAGAGCTACCCTTTTCCCTCCGAGACCTAGCATAGACAACACACTCTATGGAACATTACAGCAACTGCAGCAAACCTGCACTTACCACTACATGGCATTGGACAGAAGGGCGAGAGCTCAGCTGTTGCTGGATCGATAACAACAATCAGATTTTCGGTGATGTAAGATTTCAGGGTTTCTTTCTCTTATCTGACAACTTTGGTTAACATTTGCATTATGTTTAATGTTGTGTCCGTGTACAATATAATGTGTCTGAACACTGAATTTACCACTTGATATTAATTCAATGTTACCGTGTGTCTATTACCGCATAGCATTAGGTGTGGCTGTTAATTGCCTCATTTTGAATACTGGAACCTTTGAGTGGTGCAAGGCTTTAGGTCTCTAGAGGGCAAAATAATTTATTTTTTTGGATAAATTGTCCACAGTATCATTGATAATGTCAAGTAGTTGATTGAAGAAAAAGGACTTCACTTTAGTAGTAAAAATTGACATTGACAGGTTGTGTCTGTTAGTTAGATGTAGAGGAAACAGACTATAGTATTAACAAGCTTTGTGATCTAGTGTGGGAATGAAAAAAAGTTTAAGAAAAAGTTTCTAGAAAACACTTACGAAAAAAAAAGACGTTTGTTGAAGCTATTTAAGTTTCTCCAATGTGATTTATGTACAATGTCCTCTTGTTTGTTTTATATTATAGGGGCTAGCTGGCAGGCAAACTTTACCAGTTTTAGTTCTAGGCCACATTTTCTGCTTTTATACACAGAACAAGGAAACTCACCTGAACATAGTCATTTAGTTTAGGTTTGCAGTAACTGAAGTTATTTGTGTTTAACCTTGTGTGTCCCAGGAACTGAGAAGATAAAGTAGAATGGACTGTGAACTTTCCTAGGCCTGAGGAAAAGAATATATATATATAATTTTATATATGTTTGGAACCACACTTGTACATGAATGTACTTTGAATGGCAATCAAAATGTTACATGTTCTTGTACAAATAAATAAAAGTTCCCAATGTTTCCTAACTGTGTCATTGTAGGCTCTAACACATCATGATATTGAACTCTGCACTTTAACATGTGGAAAGTAGGACAAGTCGTCATTCTTTGCTCAGTGTTAATTCCTTCTCACAACTCTATGTCTAGAGAAGTAAGCTACATCATGATGTTGTACTCTACACTTTTATATGTTGAAAA